AACCCCTTGCAAAATTATCCTTACTAAGGACTCTCTAACGAGCCCTAGTAGCATACTGGGTTACCTGTTGGGCTGCTAACCATAAGGCCAGCAGTTCAAATCCACAGGAAAAAGATGAGACTTTCGGCTCCCATGAAGATTTACACCCTCGCCAACCCCATACAGGGTTGCTATGAGTCAGAACCAACTCCAGAGCATGCAACAGCAACAAAGACTCTCTGCTTGAAATTCCTAGTGAGACTATTTCTTTCCTAACTAGATCCTCGCCAACCAAGCCTGGATATTAATTTAGAGGATTTACTACTAATCTGTGTGTAAGCAAAATTGTTTTTTTATCACTCATTCAAAAAAACATTCAAAGTTTTTGTTAAGACTCCTCACAACCAACTCTCCAGTGTTAAAAATCATTGAGACATTCTAGGTCCTTCACAATCAGAACCAACCCACCTTTAGCTGGGATACATCTGTCTGCAACTGTGGGTTTTAAGATGAACTCCTGCCTGCCTGTTCCTTCAAAAAATTCTACATCTCTCTACCTTGTGCTTTTGCTCATGTTGTCCCTTCATCAGTTATTTCTCCCTCTTCCTGTTACTCATTCAAAATTCTGACCATTCAAATAGCACATCTTCTATGAAATTTCATTCCTAATGTCCACTGTTCAACCCTCGTCTTACAGTACTTAAAAAAAAAACACAAAAAAACCTGTAGATAATTCTTTAACACCCATCCTTTCATGATATGAAGCTTAATTTTCCTGCCCTACCCTACCTTAGTTTTCCTACACAAAGTATGAGTTGTACTTTGTGACTCCCTTTAATGAACAGAGTATGGTGAAAGTAATGTAAAGTTCTTAGTCCTCATCACAAAAGGCACAATGACTTTTCCTGGCTCTCCTGGCTCTTCTCTCCGAGGGAAGTTTGCTGCCATGTTGTAAGGGTGTGGAGACATGGTAAGCAGCTGAAATCTCATGCCAACAGCCACATAAGAGATACATCTTAAAAGTAAATCTTCAAGCTTCGAATTAGTGCAGCCTTGGCTGACATCTTGATTCCATTTTATGAGATACCCTAAGGCAGAAGCACTGAGCTAAGCCATTCCTGAATTCCTTACTCACAGAACTTGTGAGATAATGCTTGGTATTAGAAGCCACTGTGATCTGAGTAATCTGAGATGCAATAATAGATAATTAATACATCAGTGTACTTTTAGTCTTCAATGAATCACAGTTATCTGTGAATTTCTGCTAAAGTCCTTCCTCCTACTTTCCCTACAACTAGATAGTGAGGTTAGTGTTGTTGTTGTTGTTGTTGTTGTTGTTGTTGTTGTTGTTGTTGTTAAGGGCCCCCTACTCGGGTCTCATTCATAGTGACCCTATATAAGACTTCCAAAGAGTGGCTGGTGAGCTTGAACCACCGACCTTGCAGTTCAAACCGACTTTGGAGTCCAGCACATTAACCTGCAGTGAGCTCTTGGTTGTTGGTTGTGAAGTGCCGTCGAGTCGGTTCCGACCCATAGCGACCCTGTACAGGGTTTCCAAAGCTGTAAATCTTTACGAGAGTAGAAAGCCTCATCTTTCTCCTGCGGAGCGGCTGGTAGTTTCGAACTGCTGACCTTAAGGTTCGCAGCCCGATTCGTAACCACTACACTACCAGAGCTCCTTCACAAACTATGTCTCAAGAGTTGTGTGTTCCCTTTAGTGACTACCAATGTGCCTTGTAAAAATTAGGCGATCGAATACATTTTCCTCCCAAAAATAGATTAATACCACTTGCAACATGGGCTCTGGGATTAATTCAGAACCCAGCTCTACCACTTCTTAACTGTGAATTTGGAGAAAGTTACTTAGCCTCTTTAAGATCCTGTGTCCTCTTTCAGAAAATGGGGATAGCAGACCCACCTCAAAGGTTTGTTGCTCTCTCAACAAGTCTACTGGGAATATACTATTTCTTTCTAATTAACACGAGGTGGGGCGTGGACTGTCAAATCTAACTCTTACTACATTCACCCAGTATGAAGCTGGATCCAGCTTGAGCAGTTACTAGATATGTAAAGACAAAGATGAGACTACTAGATATCAGGCCTCCGATGTGAGAGAAGAGTTTTGTACATCGTGCTGATCTAGAAGGACCGGTGGTATTCTTTGCCACGATACAAACCCAAGGCTGCAAACATCCTGGTCAACAACCAATGAGGACTCCACTCCCACATGACACCCAAAAGCAAGGGAACTCAAATAAGTAGACCACTGCAATGAACTCAGTCAAGTTACTTCTTAACTGTACAGCATTTATGTACAAAGTTATGTCCTAACTTTTATAAACAACAATATTTATAACATTAACTTTAAAATATATTTGACACACATATGGATGCACTCTAGCATATATTTAACCTAATACTAACATGGGCAAAAGTTGTTCTTGGTAGCGTAGTGGTTAGAAATCTGGCTGCAAACCTCAAGGTCAGCAGTTCAAAACTACCAGCTGTTCTGTGGGAGAAGGTGAGGCTTTTTGCTCCAGTAAAGATTTACAGCCTCGGAAACCTTGTACAGAGTCGCTATGAGTCGGAACCGACTCCACGGCATACAACAACAATAACATGGGCAATGATTTAAATAACACTAACATAACCTAGCCAAGGACTTCTGGTGTGGCACTGTAGGATCAGCACCAGACTGTGAACCACAAGGTCGGCAGTACAAGCCCACCAGCAGCACCTTGGAAACCCTATACAGGGTCACTATGAGCTGGTACTGACTCAACAGTTCTTAATAACATAGCAAATGTCCAAACAGTGCTGGAAATATTACCATTTACCTAACGTGAAAAGTGGAGTACTGGTGTAGCACTGTGGGCTAATGTGCTGGACTGTAAAGTTGTTTCAACCACAAGGTCGGTGGCTCAAGCTCCCCAGCCGCTCCTTGAAAACCCACTATAGGGTCACTATGGATTGGAAACGATTTGACAGCACTTAACGACAAACAACAATAACATGAAATTTTATTATATATGTATCCAGTGAGTTTTATTATTTATTGTCTGTTGCAAGGGACAGAGTGTTTGATGTTATTCATTTGTTAATTTATAATTATCACATTTATTATAAAGCAAGCATCAAAATTGAAGTATACACCATTTAAAGCAAAATTGGTAAAAGTCAATTTTTCATTGTGTGAGATCAACAGAATTTTAAACTGTTGAAACAGCTAAATTCACTGAGTCATTCATTTACTTTGTTGTAGAATATGTGGAATGTTCTTTTTGTACAAAATGTGGTTTAGAGTAAAAATTTGAGTACCCCAAATCTACTACAAATTGACCTGGGAATTCATGTGCATCCGGTCACTCTGTTACTCCTTGCCTCTCTGCCCGACTTTCCCTATTCCCTTCACTCCCTTTCTTACTCTCTCTTGCTCTCTTACTGTACCTTGAAGGGTCTATAACATTCCAGAGCCCTCCATGAACCTTTATGATAACTTCAACTTTCCCAACAAAAGCTATCAAGATGTAAATTGGGGGAAACCACAGAAGAATTTGTCATATACTATAGTAGTTTAACATTTTAGCGAGTTGATACTGCACTCTTTTTAAAGTTTTATTATGGAAAAATTCAAACACATACATAAGTAATTAAAATGGGATCATGATTGTTCCTTGTGCTTATTACCCAACTTCAGTAATTAATGACTCATGGTCAACCTCCTTTCAGTGTTGTAATGCTCATCAGAGTCTTTGTGTCTATTCTCAATTGTCTAAGTTGAGGGAAGGGCTCGTGATTAATTGGTACTCTTAAATTTCTACAAGGGGTAGAATCTCCGACACTATAACCTTTAGACACTCTTCAGGCCTGAAAATGAACTCATCTTCCTAGATCAATTTTCAACCAAACAGCATTGTTGTTGTTAAGTATGACCCTGTATAGAGTTTCCAAGGAGTGGCTGATTAGTTTGAATCATTGACCTTGCAGTTTAAACCAATCTTGCTGTCCAGTGCTTATCCTACAAAGTCTCACCAGGACTCCAACCAAACAATTTTGTTGTTGTTGTTAAGTGCCATCGAGTCGATTCTGACCCATAGTGACCCTGTATGTAGGGTTTCCAAAGAGCAGATGGTAAACTTAAACCACCAACCTTGTAATTCAAACCAATTTTGCCATCCAGCACATCAACCCACAAGGCCACACCAAGACTCCAAGGAAGAAACAGGCCTTAAAAGTGACAAGTCCTGGTGTGGTGCTGAAGAATATGCACTGCAATGCTAACCACAAGCTCAGCAGTTCAAACATAACAGTCACTCCCCAGAAACCCTATGAGTCAGAACTGACTTAACAGCACTTAAAAGTAACAATAAAATGAACAGTAACATAACACCAGAAAGAAACTCACTTCTTAGAACAGTTAACCATGTAAGATCAAAAGAGCAGCATTTACCAAAAAACACAGCTCAGAAAACTGGAAGGAGCAGGAAAGAATGAATGAAAATGTGTCACAGAGGCAGTAGAAAGAGTGCTGTTGCATTATGGGGATAGTAATCAATGTCACGAACCAAAAAGTGTATAAATTGTTGAATAGAAAACTAATTTGCTCTGTAAACTTTTACTCAAACCGCAATGAAAAGTGGAAAAACAAAAACTTCTAAGAAGGAAGATTAAATGAGAGAATTTATACGAAGGACATCTGGAACATAAACACTCTTTTAAAAAAAATTAGTACTAATAATGATGAGCCCTCAGTTTAATTGGAAGCAAATTTTGATCACAATGTTGTTGTAATTGCCATTGAGTCAGTTTTGATTCATATGATTCTGTATGGGGTTTTCAGGGAGGGATAACTTTCATAAGGATTATTGTCTTTGTACAATTGTATGCTGAACTGTCAAGAATTATGATGTTGAGGATAGTAGAAACTCACTGGATGAGAAATCAAAAGTGATTAGTTCCCATTGCATTTACCCAGAGATTTTTCTTTTAACCACGCCATCTCTCTCCTTACAATCACTTACCTCCAGCCTGAGTCTTTGGGACACCATGCCTATGTCAATGTTGACAAACACAATGCGATTTGACCCATCAGGTTCCGCCAAGATGAAGGCACGACTGTACAGCCTGGTGAGGATGCCCCAAGCTTTCTGGCCAGATTTGCCATAGCCCATCTAAAGAGGAAGACAGAATCACAGCTGTTGTATCTCACTCACCCAGGCAACCATACAAGAAGAAAGTACTTAAAAAAACAAAGAAAAAAAATCCATGTGACACTGTGACTCCACATGAGATGGTAAATGTGTTTACAGGAATGAAACCTAAGCACAAAAGAGGCTTTAATCTTCAGTGTAGAAAACCATAAAAGTCAATGTATGGATCAGATGGCAGAAGCTGTTTACTGGTGTATGCACAAGGAGGGATCTGGTGGCTCAGAAATTTCATGATATTGGAAACTTTCAGGGAATCTTTCTATCCTATGAAATATAGTCTTTTCTCCTGCTTTTATAAAGCACTACAAAAGAAAATCCCTTTCTTCACCCCCACATTTCTCAGGAATGTCTTAAAGATTTAAAGGGGCCCCCAATTTCATTGTTTGATGTGTAGATTTTTTTTCTGAAGAAAATGGTTATCTTTGCTGAGAATACTTTACTGTGGTTTTTGCCACATTGTTCTTCTCTAAGTCAAGTCAGATCAAACAGAGTTTCAAAAGTCTGTGAAAATTGGAATTGAAAGATAATAGAAATTTTTCCATGAATTTTTTAAAAAGTCCCTCTCTCATCTTCATGTAAAGCTCAGAGTCGTAACCAGGTCTTCAAAAGGTCCCTTCTAGACTGGCTGGTCTGAAGTGCATTGAGACCTGGGGACTCCTAGCCCATGGTCAAGGACCTAGCCACAGAGGGCTAGAGTTGACAGGGAAGCATCCAGCTGATACAAAGTTAGGGGAGATGCACAAGAACACCCAAACTTGCAGAGAGTACCCATTTGACCTAGCTTCAATGGCTTGATGAACAGAACTCGACTAGAGAAAGATAAAGAAATTTGATAAAGGAAACAAGTGTAAATTGCTACAATTTGACGAACTTGACCTATATTTATGGATGTAGTAGCTCAAAATACCAACTGAGAGGTAAGCAGTCTTCACATCAAGGATCAAACCTAGCCTCTCTGTATACAGGGTTGATAGGGATGTACAACTTAGACACTGGCTACCTAAAATAGGGAGTCCTGGTATGGGTTAATGTATCAGACTGCAAAGCAGTTTGAACTGCAAGGTCGGTGGTTCAAGCTCATCAGCTGCCCCTTGGAAACCTTATGGGTCGGAACCAACTCGATGGCACTTAACAACAACAACATAAAGGCACATACTGGCTGACTTACAAGTTTTCAGAGGAAGTTTTGTTTCAGAGTATTCAGGGTAAGTTAGAATCCCCACTGAATAGGTTTCATCTAGTCTAGAGGGGTGAAAGGAAATGGGGTTAAGATTCTTATGATTCGATAGTGAATAATTGTTATCATGACTAATTGTGATTTCCACAACAGTAAAGGTAGAAGTTTTATAACAGAAAGTGGGGAGTAGTTAATCCAACATTCCAGGAAAAGAGGATCCTAGGACCATCAAGAGAGAAGAGAATGAGCGGAACATGTTCACTTAGCCAGAGAAGCAGCAACACCAGAGATGGAGGCAGAGATGATGACATGGAGAGATAGTGCAGCTGAGGACTCTAGACTCATGTAAAGAGAAAAACTGTGTGCTGGCGGCCAGGAGGCAGGCTTGTAGAATGTGCCCTTGGATTGTTTAAATGATTGTATATTCCTGAGTGTTTTTGTGTACTTCAAAACAAAAACAACCAGAGAGAAAAGAAACAAATACTATTAAATGATGATGCATAGAGGGAATTGTAATCATTGAAATGAAATGAAATACGATAGGATGAGTGCAAAACCAATGTTCCCCCATGTAAACTATCACTCAATTCATAATAAAAAGCTTTAAAAAAAAAAGTCTCTTCTACCACTTGCTTTACCCCCTTATGTGAGTGTTTACTTAGGTTCACATTCCAGGGTCTTTTCAAAACAGAAAACAGGGAATAGTTACTGTAATTTAAAGATTATTTGTAAGAGAGAGAAAACCCCATCAGACAACCTCATGCTCTGGTTTCCTAAGGAAGAGTTAACATAAATAGTTATTTTCACCGTCAGAGAGAAGAATTTGCATCCAAACAGCAGCAGGTCATACCTGATCCACAAAAAGTGTTTCATTTGGCTTACACAATGTTGGCCCATACTAGGTTTCCAAATTTAACTGGAGTTTCTTACATTTTAAATTGAGAGATTTGAATCCTAAAATCTTCAGTCTAGAGATGTTTTTGGCTTCTCATGGAAAATATGGCAATCCTGAGCCTACATTCTTACATGGCAACCATCAGCAAGGCCACTTTCTAGTGTCACCATAGTCACCCCCACTCCCTATTGTGGACCTACAATTGACAATGGAGTTGTGGTTGAATAAAAGGTCCTTCTTCATATACCACAATATTTACGGTGTTCAGCAGCAGAGAAGTCATCAGATATGAAAGAAGATAATGATGATGTAATCATCAGAAATGAATGCAGGGTGTAAAATGACTTCTTTTTGTAGCTATTTGAGAAGCCCATCTTTCACCTACCAAATTGATATCTGATACTTGTCCTGTACAGTCCGCACGGCCAACACCAATATGGTAGCCACTGAAGTTCTGAAAGAGTGGAGGCTCTGGGGCGGAAGTCACTGGAGGAATTTGGGTGGTGTTGGCACCCTGAGTGGCTGGAGAGCTTGGAGTGGATGGAAAATCTTGACCTCCTGAATCTAAAAACAGAGGAAAATATTTTAAAACCAGTATTTTAGCCCATCTATCTATTGGTATTAACTGATTGATTAAAATACAGCATTCGGGTTCCTGAGGGGGGTAAAATATCTCTGTATTTTCTCTCCTATTTAAGATTATATTATGAGAAACATTGTCAGAAACCTATTTTATATCATATTCCTAAGCAGGATCTTTCTTGGACTGAAGATGTTTTCAACCGGACAATCCAGGTCTCCCTCAAATATCCTTCAACTTCTCACCACAACCCATTCTCTACAAACTCATCTACCATCACTCACTCATGTTACTCTTTTGTTCTCAGCCAAACAAATCAGGTGCCAGGTCTATGGCAGACAGCCTACCGAACTCAGACTCTGTGGATGGACTTCTACCATTCTCTCCATCCAGAGCAGCCTGTGTTCCTTTCCTTTTTACCAACATATGTGTTTTATTTCCATCACATCTGATCCAGTTCAACCTTTCATTCCAGGAAGATTTTTATTCTTCATGTGTCCTAAATCATTTTATACTGGTTGACATGAACACATAGCCATTAAGTCCATTCAGACTCATAGCAACTCTAGAGAACAGAGTTAAACTGCTCCATAGGGTTTCCAAGGCTGTAAATCTTTACAGAAACAGACTGACTCATGTTTCTCCTGCAGAACAGCTGGTGGGTTCAAACCATCAACCCAAGGCCCAGGACTCTTGCTGACACAGAATCCCTTTATTTTAATTAACTTCCTATCACTATATATGTTTTGATATTGTTCCCCCTTGTTATAATTATTGTCATCTCACTAATATGTGGTGGTGGTGGTGGAGTCAGTTCCCACTCATAGTGACCCTGTACAGGGTATCTGAGGCTGTAAATCTTTATGGTGGCAGAAAGCCTCATCTTTCTCCTGTGGAACGGCTGGTAGTTTTGAACTGCTGACCTTGAGGTTACCAGCCCGACTCATAACCACTATGCTACCAGAGCTCCTTATATCACTAATATATTCCATATTAATTTGTATGTCTTTATATATATATTTATTAAGTCCTGGTGAGGTACTTACAGCATATATATTTATGAAATTCTTGGTTAGCATAAACAGTTAATGTGCTCAGTTGCTATCCCAAAAGGCTGGAGGTTTGAATCTACCCAGAGATGCTTAGGAAGAAAGGTCTGGCAATGTACTTTCAAACTCAACCTTCGAAAACCCTACGGAGTACAGTTCTACTCTGACACACAGGGGTCATCATGAGTCAGTCAATGTCAACTGGTTTGATAATACACACACACACATGAATATCAGAAGGGCATAAAAACTATGAAGGCAGGTACTAAAAACAAACTGCCTTGGTTTAAAACCTGACTCAAACACTTACTGAAGTCTTGGTTTGGTGCTGCAGGATAAGCACTTGACTACAAGGTCAGTTTGAACCTCAAGGCCAAGGGTTCAAACTCACCAGTCGCTCCTCAGAAACCCAATACAGGGTCGCTACAAGTTGTAGCCAACTAGACGATACTTAGCAATAACTACCACTTACTAGCAAAACACATTACATCGCCTATTTACCTCAATTTTCTCATCAATAAAATAGAGATAATAATAGTATCCTACTTCTTAAAACTGTTTTGAGTAGTAAATATGTTAATATATATTAATAGTTTAGAATAATGGCTAGTATACATCACTACAGTTTTAGTTAGATGTTTAGACCTTTTATTTGTTTTCATATTTGTTTATTCCTCCCAGAAAAGCATCCAAGTATAACCTAGGCAGCAAATGTCACTGTCACAAGCATTAGTGATGAGAAAGCACTTAGGCAACGGATCGACTGGACTCTCTGAAATCGTAGAATATTGGAGATCAAGAAAACTTAGCGATCACCTAGTCCAAGTTCCTCTATTTTATAGATGAGACGGCTGAAGTCCAACTGAAATTTCACAGAGAACATGAGATGAATCAAGTACGCAACCCAGATCAGACTCTGAATCTGACGTTCTATGGACCAAATCCTAGAAGGAGTTTGAATCCATGCCTTCTCATCACCAGTCCCATTTTTTCTACAAGAGACTAAATAGTGCAAGGCAAAAAGCAAATACTTTTGCTTTGACCTCAGTGGTAGGTGCCAAGCTAAACCAGGCCACAAAGCTGGAGACAGCTTCCTTACAATCCCAGAGTCTCCAAGCAACATGGCACTAGGACTACAAGAGTCTTAGCGCTGTGCTAATATAACTGTTACTATGAGAACAGTTACTATAGATATTAAGAACCTCCTTGATCCTCGGTTTCCTAATTCTCCAATTTTGAGAGGTTAAACTAAATCAATCCTAGGGATCCTTTGATTCCTAGCATTCTAAGACCCTGTTCTTCCTACTGCTGGAAGAAAGGACCTCAGTTTTTTCTGTGAGTGCAGGAAATTCTAAGCACAGTGACGTGGTAGAGAATACACTGAAAAAGAGAAGAGATCACAAAAAGGAAACAGAGGTAAAAAAAAAAATGCTGTCTCCTGTTCCACTTGGCCTAAGGCCAGCCCTCTCTTGCTATGGTCAAAGTGCCTGATCTGCTCTACTTACTTTCCAAGTATATAGACATGGAGCTTCTATCAAAAAAACAGTGGGTCCTATATGCTTACAAATGTGGCCTAGACAGTTTTCAAAACCTAAATCCATTTTCAACATTTGAAAAGCAATCAGGAAATCTCTAAAAATTCCAATTTTCAATCTCAATTGAAAATTCAGATCTGTATTTGTGGTGACATGACAATAAATAGCTGATACTATAGCGGACCCCACTTCATCAGACTCTCTTGCCCTCCCCCATACCTCCCATCACTCTACCGTATTTACAGAACTTGATTGGTCCTCAAAAGAAAATGACATTGAGATGCTGTCAGTAAACTTTTTCATGGACTATTTGGCATTCAGTGGGTCTTTCATTTTCCTTTTGTGTCAGGAGAAGACGATACCAAGAAAAAGGCAAAGAAAGAGAAATAAAAGAGCCTTGTGGCAAAGCTTCTGTTACTTGGTCCCTGAAGAATGTTGGGCTGTGCTTCAAACAGTGGAAAACTCAAAGGCAAAAAATACATGTCAGTATGCCTTTCAAGTGGCTATTTGGGGACAAAGGTAAGCTTGATAAAAAACTGCAGGATGGGTAATTAATGTAGAAGGAGCTGGCCATCCCAGGTTACTTCAGTACGAACTGAACTGTCTAGTCATCAGCACCATCAGGAGACACGGTTTCTTATCTTCCCACAAGCCTCTGAATGTAACCAAGAGAGCCCATGATACTTGCCTTTGTGGTTTTCAATGGTTCCACTGGTGATAAACAAGAGACTGAGAAGGGCCACTGTGATCGCAGTCATCATCACCAGGAGGAAAATTAGGAATGATTCCAATGTGGAGAAGGTACGTTTTGCCATTTTTCCTAAAACGCAGACATCAGAGAGGAAGTGTGAAAGAGAAAGAAATCATAAAGTCACAAATTAAAATCACATGCTTCAAGCTGCCCAAGGTTAAGATGTCTTAGCTCTTTCATATTAAGACTACATCTCTCAATGCTGTGCTGTTCTTATGGCCTGAACTCTAGGTCTTGGGATTTAAACTTGCAGAAATCTCTGTCCCAGTGTCCCTAAAATCCTAAGCACTAAAAGGACTACGACCCATTTTTACATATTTCATCATTATAATCACCTTTACACCAGTCCCTGTAACACTCTTGTCCTCCAAGTAAAATGTCCTGATCAATGTGGGTATCACTATGGATGGATAAGAATAAAGTCTATAAACACATAATACACACATTTCCCTGTGGTTCACAACTCAAACATTATTCTGGCTTTCTACTTCTAAATTCAACACCACAGGAGACCTTTGTGCAGCCTTCTCAATATCCCATTAGCATAACTTCCACTGCCTTTATACTTCCACGTGGAATAAACAGTTAGGGCTCTGCTCTGCACTCCAGGACTAAATAAAATTAACCAGTTCACATGGAAATGATACTCATCATTTTGGCCTTTAAGTATTATCTTCTAACTTTCCATTGCTCCCTTACTGGCATCTCTGGTCTCAAACAACGCATTAGCAAAAATTTCCTTTCAGTGATCAGAAGGATCCCCCATATATATATATTTTTAATTCTGTATCAAGGGGTGGGAATAAAAAATGCCCTTGTATCTTATAGAAAATGTGCTTACAGATTTATTAAGATTTTTCCAGAGGAGAGTTCATCACCACCCAGAGGAACTATAGAAGCTAAAAGTCCAAATAATGCAACAGGAGAAAGCAGAACATACTAGATGAAAATTGGGTCTGGAAGTCAGTGAATACACATCCATCTAAAGAGAAGAGCTGCCAATGAGTTCTAGAAATTTCCTGGTGAAAGGAAATACTGGCTCAGTATTGCTATAGTTTATGGAAAAAAATTGAAAGAATAGTTGAAGTTCTAGATTTATATCTAAAATCTATCTTTTATCTTGTCAACAAAGTCAAATACAGCTTTAGGCTGGAACCACTATATTGCAATAATCTACCAAAATGACAGATATATAGGGAAAGAAGGGGGGCACCTGCTATACAGTCTCCGGGCCCTTTAGAAAACATGGGACTATTGCTTGCTCAGGAGACATCAAGGCAAGTGGTTGGGTCCCCTCAGAGCAAACCGCCTTACAAGACTAAGACTCAATGGGAATACACACTCTGATTGGTGACCATGTTCGTCACCGATAAGGGGAAGTGAGGGGAAAATAGCAATGAAGCTGCAAGCTAAGCCTTACAATGTTCAATAGACTCCTGTGAACCCTGGTGGAGACCTGGTTGGCCAGCAGTGTGGCAAGACCTGGGGACTCTTGGGC